TATTTAGTGTTGAAGATATAACAATGGCTGTTATAGTCTTCAAACAATATATGTTTTGTACCTATTTTATAGGATCATGTAACAATTGTAAATTTATAAATAAATCTAGATTTACTTATCGTTTAATGGATGTTCACATCCATGTTCTAAAACGATGTATTTTGTGTTAAAGAATATTTTCTCATAATGTTCTTTATGAAGTAAATCTATTAGCTTTCATTTAATTGATAGTTATGATCATTACCCCTAAATAATCAAATTATGTTTGATTGGAACGTATCTATGTTATGATCATCATGATTATATAAATATGAAATACAAATACCAACTTCAAAAGATGGAATGTTTTGAAGGTAAATAAGCTTGATTCGTTTGATATGTATGAATCATATTTATATGGGAAGATGATCCGTAAGTGTCTTTATCTATTAGTAGCTAAAGAACAAAAGGCTTGACAAATAACTATATAAGTTATTTATGTAATCTTTTCAATCCATGAATAGATTTGGTGATAGATGCTTAATCAATTTCACTAACAAATTTTATTCGTTATTGTTGAAACTTTTGATTTGCTCAAATTGTTTCGTAGTGAAGATTGAAATACAACTTAATGCGTACATCATTAACCTTTCGTAGTGATAAAGAAAATAATTTTTGTAAACCATGTCTTCTTGGAACATCTTAGGAGTTATTGAATCGATTCACGACTCATTCCGTCAAAAACACTCACTCGTCATTAGTATGGTTCTTGTGGCACATGATCACCTGGTTACTTGGATCTATCTTTTGATGTTCGAGGTAGCCTTCATATTCTCTAGTGGGATAAGGTCACATGGGCACTGGTTGAATGACGATAGTACAATATTTTGAATAGGATAAAAAATAGATCTTATAGTCTATTATATTATGTTTGAATGAACTGTTTACTTTATCGAATTTTGAAATTATGCTTACTGGAACAAATATATATTGAATATATATATTTCTAACCAAACGACTGGATTAAATATTTTCGTTAGACTAAGGATGTAATGGTTCATCCTTATCTAAAAGGTATATAGTTATGTAGCTTGTGTTAGACAATAAGCTTAAGCACTCTAGCATCTATTAACTGCATTTATGTAGATTATCCTAAATGACTGTTTAGGATGAAGTTTCTACTAATCCTATTAATTGTTATTCAAGAAGACAAGTGCTCAGAAAGTTCTTTTTCTAAGTGGGAGCAATATGAAACTTTAAGAGATAAAGAACTATAAGCTAAATGCATCACAGTTTGAAACTAGCAAGTTTTCAACTGTTGTTGAATCTGCTCAATGTTGATCAGAAACTAATGGAACACATAGAGATGCATTCATGTATTATTATCAAGTATGGGATTGATTAATCTTCCTCGGTATATTACGAATATAAAGAGTAAGTGGGTCTTCAAAGGAGAAAACATACATGAATTAAAATCTTTCCTGATTTAAGCTAACATCTCAAAGAAAGAATCTTATTTCTTGTAAGATAATTACATAGTGTGATTTAATTATAAATCAAGATGACTCTTGTGTTTTCTACAAAGCTAGTGGGAACGCAATAACATTCCTAGTCTTATATGTGATTGACATACTAATTCTTGGAATAAAGATCTATATAGATAGATCATGACAACTTAAAAGATGTAAGTAAAATTACATTGATTGTCAAGGATCTTAAAGAGCTTAAGATAAAGACTCTAAGAGAGTTTATATTGTCAAATACCACATGACATGATTTTGAGCACTCCTTAAAATCCTAGTACAATGTTTTGAACTAGATAATATGATTATATTACATATGATTTTGCAATTGGATTAATCATATATGCCATGATGATGCATGAAGGCCAAATAAGTCGTATGCTTAGAGCATGTTGAATGATACCAGTATAATCCGAGAATAAGTCATGGTGTGACTTAAAGGAACATTCTAAAAGTACTTGCGAGAACTAAAGAAATATTCCTAATATACCGAGTATTTGAAAGAAAGCTATGTTTAAAGTTTATACACATGTGCTAAACTTTAAAATAGATTGAGATGACTCTCAATCACAATCGGACATGTCCTCATTATGAATGATGATAAAGTTACATGGATAATGGTTCCATGTAGATTTTAATTACAGTTACACATAAGAGTTAGCGTGCACTTTTGTTCGGGGAACACTAAGATGCTTAATGTATAGTTCATTATGAGTATGAGTAATCCCATTACATAAGTCTTGGTATCTAAGTCATGTTTAAGTATATAATGCATTCTCAATAGTTTTCTCTATATATTAGTTATATATATATAACTGAAAATGTTTGTATTCACAAATTTTATACAAATCAAGTTTGTCAAATCTACTTAACAAACATCCTTCATTAGCAAAATCATGAAAGTCAAGCTGACGCTATAGGGTCTTATGGATATAAGTAGATGTATTTGATTGAAATTTAATGTTTGGATATTGGAACAGTACAAGCAACATATATTGTAATGAGTTGATATATTGGATATGAGACTTTCATTAAATAATTGTTGTGTTCTATATTAGCATATTTAAAGCCTTGAATAAATAAGTTATTCTAAATGCTCATAGTCGTTCATAGTTGTGGGGAGCTTATATGAGATAAGACTAATATGAGTGGATTGGTTGATTCTCATGGAGATGAGAATAGGAAGAGCTGCTACCAACTTCATAGGTACTTGATTAGAGAAGATGTATTGGACATGACCCACATCAAAATCACATTATGAATCGTAGTCATGAGTGACGTTTTGATCAAGGTTGTATCTTTGTATTCTTAGACCTGAGATACATATTTGGGACTTAAAGTGTAGGAATTGTTATGCTTTGACATGCTTTAACATTGTTCCGTAAAAGGTAGTCATAAGGGCCATCGTTGGGTATAACATGAACTACATGATGGACATATGTAGTTAAGATGGGATTTGTCCTTCTTATTCATTGAGAGTTAGACATGTAAGGACTTATTAAAAGTTGAACATTAAATGGGATTGATGGTCATCCATATCTCATGTTCAACATGATGTATGAGACAAATGAATAACTGATATCACACATTTAGTAATAATTGCATATTAGAGCTCCTGGAATTGGCTGTTGATGAGATGTCACCCTTCATGAATTGTTAGTGGCAGTAGCCCGTTGCTGGACATCAGTTACTGTCTATGTCAGATTGTAATGAATCTTGTGCAAGTAGGAGATTGTTGAATCTATATGCCCACGAATCATTATTGAGTGATATTGCTAATAATATATGATCTTATATGGTCACACATTTATCAAGTTGGCACATTTTGATATTTATTATTAATATGATTATTAATAAATAATATCAATTCTTGTATTTAATTAGGGAATAATTATTGTTTTGTGTAAATAATAATTAAAAAGAGCATAACTAGTTATTATATCATATGGTATGATTTAATAAGTCATAAACAAAGTTTTGGACACTTTGGCTAACCTTAGACTTGCTAGTTCTTTACCATTAGTTACCTTTATGTAACTAGAGAAATTAGATAATCATTTTTATCTCTTCTTTCTCACCATGGCCGAAAATATGGGAGGCATGGGAGGTTGCTTGTCAAATTCTCTCCCATGCTCCCCATGCTTACTTTACTAGGTAATACTGCATAGTATTTTATAGAGTAACTTTTGACCATGTATGGTAGCATATAAAGGAGTGTAGAGGCTTGCAAAATTGCTAGTTTTTCTTATGCAATTCCTTCTTTTTTTTTTTATTCTTCATGGCCGAGAGCATGAAGCCTTCTCCTCTCCTCTCTCATGCAATCTTGTTGCTTGCTTTTTGGAGCTTTACTTTGTGTCTTCCTTTAGTTCTTATTTTGTTAAGTACTTAAAGGTGTAAAGAAAAAAGTATTACAACAAGGAACTAGCATTCTAAGTGTCTTATTCTTGATGGTGGGTACTTGTAGTGAAAATCATCTATTTGATTTTTCTATCTTCATCAACACCCTAAAACCAAGTGGGTTTACAGGCTTCAAAGGTTGTCATTCTCAAACACTCGTTGGTTGTTGTTAACATCATTCTAACATCTATAAATGGACTTGTTGTTTTTATAAAACTTCCGTTATGGTTTTTATAAAAAACGAACTTATATTTTGTATTAAAACCCTTAAGGATGAATGCACGTACGTATGTTGGAGATGCCATAAGATTTTTCAATGAGGGGAAAGGCTAGTTTGCTTGCTTCTCCGGTCATGGTGATGAGAGGGTTTGTAAAGATATCGAGAAGAAGAGGGAAGGGAGAAAAAGGAAGAAAAGAGGTGAAGTAGGATTAGAGATGAAGGAGACGTACAATATTAGTGGCCTGATACCATTTTATGGTGGGTATATTCACATGCCCTCATCTCATTCATTAAAACAATATATATATATATATATATATATATATATATATAATATATATATATATATATATATATATAAAAGCACAATACGTAAAGCCTAAATCACAAAATACATTTGGGCCTAACAAACAAATACATAAATACATGTGGGCTAACATTCTTTCTATTGAAAATGGAACCCATTTCAAGCTGAAGTTTATTGCATGATGAGCTGAATTCTTCCCTTCTTGAGTGTTAATTAGTCGGTTTCTTCTTGGTTACCATGGAACTAGTATTTAGACTTATTTCCATTTATTTAGGTGTTTATAAGTTTTAGAATTCTGGTATGATTGTTGTTAGGGGTTTTTTATATAGTCTTTAATTTATTGGTTCCATACTTCCATTCATTTGAAATACTCCGAACCCCAATCAAAAAATTGTATTCTCTTCTCCATTCTCTCTTTTATAATTAAAATTTTATGAATAATTCAAGTCGCCTTTTGGTTTTTTACTACAAGGCTTTCCGCCTAATCTTATGCATTCTTGGGTTATTCTAGTTGTTCTGTTTATCATGACATTTATAGCACGAATCACTTCTCTAACTTAGTAAAGAATGTTCATTCTCATATTATTCCTTGATAAGACAACATTCAGCTATACTAGTCCGAATATGTTGAAGGAACTACGTACTGCCCAGTTTATGGACCTTGTTTGTATACATCTTATACGGATGTACAGTTTTATATTAATCTTGGTTGTTTCTCTCACTCGCATTCTTGATAGCTTTCAAAATGGCTTCTTTTACCACATGAGCATCAATGTCATCAACGTGTCCCTCATTCTGCAAAACCGTAACATTTATCAATATAAAAGTTGGATTGGAGAACGAGACTTACGTATAAATACTTGCAAAAATAAGCAGTTGCGTTACGCAAAGTTGTTTAAAAAACAGATGGAAAGGAAAGTATATATGGGACACTTTTCTAATTTTGAAGTAACAGAATTTACAAAACCAATGCATGTGTCGTTTCTACCATTGACGTACATAGAAGCAATCGAACTAGACCTGTAATAATATGAACAATTCTATACGAATTAACATATTTGTCTCTATGTGTATAAGAATAGTGTTTAAGTGAAATTAAAGCATATATATACCAAAACACATCTAAACAAGTAAAATAACTTCTTACTTCGCCTACGGCTTGGAGATGGAACTTATTGGAAGAGGACACAGCAGCATCACATACGTCAAGTCCAAACTCCTCAAAGGCTTCCAGGATTAAGACAAGTAGACCAGGGCAATCCTCTTCAGAATAGACATTAATTCGAAAACCTTTATCTAGGGTTTCTACTCTGACTTGCTAAATTTTGGAAAGAAAAAATATATTTTAGATACAGTATCAACGCAACGTGAAGTATTATATCATGTTTTGGAAATGAATCAAGAGTTTACCATAGGTAATGTACTATATTCGCTCGAACTTGTGATATCTTCATTAAGTCTTTCTACCTTCTTCTTCAGTTCCTCGATATACTTTGATGCATCTACAATAATTGATGTTTTGTGTACCTGCAAGTCATCATAAAACCAAGCATCATATAAATCTGATTTATGATTAACAGTTAATTACCTTTTGTTCAACAGTACCAGAACATCTACATCAAAGGATAATCATGTAAAAAGGTACACATAAGTAGCATGCGTTCAGAAGTGGTGCACTATAAGGGTAAGCAAGAAAATCGGAAAATCTATGTACATCAATATGCTTTCTTGTGGGTGGGGTCTCACTAAACAATCAAAATATTAGAGCCAAATAATTCGATTCAGATAAATTTCTATATTTGCAACATCTAAACTAAGAAGTTTACAGCATTTGAATGGGAAACCGAACGAAGTTGTTTTATCTTCTGATAGAAAGCAGATCGTTCCTCCTCCTTAGAACCCATTATTGTAAAATCTCGAAGAGCTAGCAAACTTTCATATGGGATCTTTCATAAGGAATGAGAGATATAAAGAAGAAGAAGATGGCTTAAAACATATAGTTGTGGGCTTCGCATGAGTACCAAAAAAGCTCTCATAATCATCATATAGAATAACACATAAACAATAAAATATGTTTGTACAATTACAGAAGCACCCTTCTACCGGGATTTACAGTGGGGCTGAGCTATTTAAAGTAAAATAAAAATATAAAACGCGGAAAGATGACAAAGTTTTCGGAAACTGTATGCTTGTTCACCAGCTAATCTGATCACAATTTCATGGGATTATAACCAGTATTCTATTAAGACTTAAACAGTACTTCTCGCAGAAGATGGATGTGTATTAACCTTAACGCAAACATATGTTCTGACAGCATTCACAAGATGAATAGTGTACCAGATAAAGTCATACCCAATTTCAGTCACAAAAAAATATTTAGAATAAACTCTAACACAAGTACTTCATTTACTAAAAACGTGGCCGGTAATTTTATTACTATTAATGACTAAATATGGCATTCTAAACCTTTGGTGCATCGACAATATTGTGGTGCTAGTTACCTCGTATTTGCAGTGATACTTTATTAGATGGTGTTAAAAGACATATTTCTTTTTTGTAGGTCTTTAGTAGTTGTAAAAAGGTGCAGTCCTAATTTCAAGAGTTGGCTTAAGATTGCTACCAAACAATTTTATCCAACTATCTTGGAATTACCGATTAACATATCCTAATTGTTACATATACCAGGGTCAAGGCACACAAAATGTTCAAGATATATATATAGAAATATATATATATATATATAATATATATATAATATATATAATATATAGATATATATATATATATGGCTTGGGAAATATGTGGCTGTTATGTACCTATCTAATATTATAGAAACATCAAAAACTACATAATTTTAACAAAATTCAATCAAATATCTCTACCGTATTTCTTGTATCCTCTATTAGAACTTATATTAGGCTTTGTATATATTTTTTATGGAGTTTTATAGGTTTAATTTTACACCACAAACCGTGTATACGAATATTTTATCAACTACATGTAGTTCGATATATTGAAAGTTATTACATAAAACTATAGTGAAAGATTGAAATTGTTCATTAAAAACCCAATAAACCTCTTCTCTAATCCATCAAACGAAAAAAAAAACAATGCAAGTATACATAAGCTAGGTAGGTGTCGGAGAAAATTATGAAGCTTCTACTAGATGTCTAATAAAAAACACATTCAAAATATATAGATATTGAGGATGAATTACTAAATAAAAATAATATGAGTTCAAAAGCAATAGAAATAAGCTAACAGTGAACGTAAATTGTGTTTTTTAATCAAAATGAAATCAATTTAGATGGTTTTATATTTAATATTACAAACATGAAAACCACATATTCACTTTTCATATATATATATAATATATATATATATATATATATATATATATATATATATATATATATATATATATATATATATATATTATAATTCTCCATATAATATTCAGTTTATTTTACACCTTGTCACAGGGATCAATATGAATTAGTTTCAAAAGTTATATAATGTAAAGTTTAATGGATATGATTCAGCTTGTGGATTATCATAATATTCAGATTAAGCCAATCTGGTTTTGGGTATGGCCCAAAATATGACAGGAGGAACAAATTCAGATTTGCTAGGCACGTTCAGTAAAACTAATGCAGTGTGATTCACCAGGTTGATGGTAATCCATTTAGTGATCGAATTTTTTCTAGCTTACCGATCTTTTGCCACAGGAGACTAAGGGGACAAAAAATGACAGTGGCTATAAGGAAAGACAAGGGGAGTGATGGTTCAGTCTATCGAATACCCCCGTGAGATAGTTTTGGATGCATTAACAGCTAATGCTAGCAACCCGAAACACATACTTACAACACAATTTTGTTTGACATCTGACAAAAATTCTCTCTTCTCTCTTCTTTCTCTGTGTCGCTGTCTGAAGTCCCCACACCATCACGAGGCATATCACAATCACCCCTATCTGTCAATTTTGTTTACCTTGGTTATTCTTTTTCCGTTGGTTGATATCTTGATCATGATTGTACCATCTAGTGCATGTTTTTCCCATATTGGTGGTAGAAACTTGCTTTTCAATTTTGAAGATATATAGATGCATGGAATTCGTAGATGATGGATTTTTATTTTATAGCCGAATCTATAATTCATTTAACTCTAAATAGTTAAATGGATTTTTATTTTATTGCCATCTATTATTTTATTTTTTTTATTCTATTTTACTATTTAACATTATAATACATTAACCCTGTAAAGTTTAATAAATTTTCACATTGTCACCATCATATTTTTAAACACAATTGTAAGATACAGTTGTTAAAAAATATAATATTTAAAAATATATTAATTAAAAATTATAAAACCTAAAACATTCAATACCGAGAAATACATTAATTAAAAAATTATATTTTATCTTGAGTTTTTCCCAACGTTTACTCAAAATCTATCGCCCTTCCTTCATTCACTACATGAAATAGAGGTATTAGCGACAATGTCGCCGGTAAAAGCTCAACTTGTCGTTGTTACTTAGTAATCCCGGCAACATGTTGACGCTATTACGTCATTGCTAATAATTCGTCACTAAAACTCTTTTATCGCCAATAATACCCGTCGCCGGTAATACACTTCGTTGGTACTACTCCAAGTCTCTGGTAATACCAACCACCGGTTGTACTGTATGTTGCTGGTAAAACGTTTTTTTTTTAAATATTTCTGCTAATCTCTAATCTATAAAAACGGTATTGATATAAATCTATAAAATCAATATTTAAATTGCATAAATGTAGAATCCACATTGTCGTATAAAATACTTAAAACAATTCATAAAATTAAAGTCGTTCCAAACGTACAACATTAATAAAATATAAAACTAAACATAAACTAGTTTGTCATCCTTGCCATCTCCGTCATATTCGGGCCCATCGTTTTCTTCATCATCACACCTGATATCCTCACCATCTTCACTCCCACCTTTTTAACATCGATCAAAACCATTTAAAAAGTTTCTTACTATATGTTAGGTTTTTTTATAATAGTCTCAAAGAGATCGACCCCATATAAAATAAATATATGGACATTAATAATTGCATCCTAATTGTCAACATACCATAATAGCAATAAACATAAGCGAAACTACATACCAAACTTCTTATTTATTATCAAAACTACCAACATATCATATGCAAATTATCAACATACTAAAATACCGAACTACATATCAAACTTCAATTAGCAAAGATATCAAAACTAACAACATACCAAACCACCAAGTTACCAATATACCAAAGTACATATCAAACTTTCAATTACCAAAGATACCAAACTAACATAAACGAAAATAGCAAAGTAAGAACATAAACCAAGCTTCCAATTACCAAAAAATATATCAAATAATCAACGGGTATCAAAATTACTAAAGTAACATGCATTTATTAATCTTTATGTGTGAGTTTGAAATTAAAATAAATTGGTTCATATTACGTTTACCTTTATTTGTTGTGGTTGTGAGGGCTCTCCCTCAAAATAGTATGAGGTTCTATTGGAAGACTTATACCCAATACTTTTGATATGTCCTCATCTAACACCTAACACCTTTTCAGATGGCTCTTTCTCAACCGTTGGTGTTAGGTTAGTTCGGTCAGGTAAAGCTTGTGTTTGTATTTCTAACTCCCGCACTAAGTCATTATGTATGTTCAAAAGATAATATATATATAATATATATATATATATATATATATATATATATATATGTGTGTGTGTGTGTGTGTGTGTGTGAATAGGTAACTTTGTTTCTTTCCAGAAATGTTGATTGCAACAACTGTAACAGTTAATCAAATTAACTATTAGGCTATTTGTTTTTTGCCTTGATATGAATCAGCTTTGCTAGAAAGTTGAGAGATAAAACCAGGATGTAATTCTTTTTGGACATCCTCTAACAACTCTAGAAAATCATTACTGACACCAATACCCCCGATATCTGAGTTCCATTCGTCGAGGTTGATATCGTTTTCTATCGTATCCTCTTTAATGTCGTCGATAATGCCAACCATCTCATTACTTAGCCCTACATCAACTACAACTTGATGAATAACAATTTCACCATGATAGATCCACTTTTTGTACGACTGACACAAACCAGATTTATTTATACGAACATTGATTGTTAACACATGGAAAAAAGAAATGGTTATAACATTTTTCACATGGACATCTAATATAATCCCTATTGTCGACATGTACTTTGCATAGCTCGATAAAGTTTACAAGCCCTTACAATAACTCGGGAGAGTTACGTTTTAGATTAGTGGTCCAACTTTTATTAATATGCATGATGCAACTGAAACAATAATCAAATAGAGTATTCATAAAGTAGATCATTGAAAATGTATCCTGGAATAGAGTTACATCTGGGTTTAAGTTTTAATCTACTGGAAGCAAGAATCGAATATTGTATTGTTAGATGCATTTTATAGGCATATTTTTGTATGTCTTTATCTGTATTTTCTTATAATTTGCAGAATTTCTCCCTTGTATTGCTATAAAATGCGTATTTCTCATTATATTCACAAAATACCCCATACTACTCACTTTTCATTATGTTTTTCAGGGTAAATTAGAATATAATGCAAATACAACACTTTTAGGATGCCTTCGATGGGGCACTGGATCTTAACTAGAGTTGGAAATTGATGATTGTTGTTGAGGAATGATCAAAAACAACTTTAATTAGAGAATAACGTTCAGTTTTCACGAAATCAACAAAACACCACCTTGTTTTCTCTAAAAGCACGATCGTGCAAGTGATTCAAGGTTCTATTTGGATGTTTTATTCAATCTGAAGAATTGAGGACACACACTAGTACAAAAATTACCTACGGCCACACTTTTCAAAAAACAGCATGTTATACTTTTTATTAAAAGTGTGGCCAAATGCCACTAAAAAATTTAGAGACTGTTTTTGGATACATTTAAATTAGTTTGTGTGGCCATCGTACAGATAATCAAAACTTTAACCACACTTTA